GGGGCTGGGGTGGGGGGTCTGTGCCAGTTGGTGGAGAGGAGGGCCCTTGGTCCCAGGAGCCTGGTGGTTTCTGGTCTATTGGCTTTTCCTCCCTTCTGTTGCTCATAGAGTTGTGACTGTCCTCCCTCACTTGCCTTAAATATGTGCATATGTGTGTGCACGCGCGCACGCACCCTGCTCCCATACCTCTCCACCCAGAGCACAGCTGCAGCTTGCTTTCTCTCTTGCTCAAGAACCTTCACTGGCTCCCCAGTGCCTGCAGTGGAAAGTCTTCCCTCCTTAAGTGGGCATTCAGAGTTTCTCAAGGTGAAGTCAGGCAGCAACTGTGGCTGGTCTGCTTCTCCAGTGTTTCTCTGCCCTCCCTTCCCCCTCTCTGTGTCCTGGCCTAAGGAGACCCCTGGAGGTTCGTTCAGCATCTGGGCCCTACCAGCTGCGCACCTTGCACAGTTGTGATTTCCATCCCAAGCATCTTTGATTTCTGGCTCTGGCTCTCAAAACTGTGCCCACTTCTCTGGTGGGGGAGGGCGGGGCACAAATTCTGAGCAGGCCTTAGGCAAGGCTGACAGCTTCCCACCCTCATCTCCTCATGGGGAGTGGGTGAGACACATGATGGACGAGGCAAAGGTGTGCCTCCTTCACCAGGGAGCCTGCCCGGGTTCCCTGGGGACTGTCCCAGCCCCTGGCTCCTCTGCCTTGTCCAGCTGTGGAGAGGTAGCCAGCCTGGGGGCAGACGTGGCCCTGTCACCTGCTAGCTGTGCCTTCTGGGTGCCTGTGGAGAGCGTGGGGGCCAAGCAGAGCCTTTGTACTGCCGCTTGGCCTGCTGGCCTGGTGGCCACTCCCTGTTCCCCGTTCCACTTCCTGTGAGTTGTTTACCTTCTCTGAGCCCATTCGCCCCTCTCCTTGGCAAGCAAGAGGTCATGTGGACACACAGGAACCACAGCGTGGCCTGTCTGTGCCCTGGAACTGTATTGTAGAAGGAAACTGATGTGTGCTACAACCTGGGTGAATCTGAGAAATGAGATACCAGGTGCATCCCTCAGCTGGCGCTGCTCCAGCAACACACAATATATCTGCACACCTACAAGCAGACAGAACACGCATAATACACACATGCACATACACATATCACACATGTCTGTGTCCACACATGCATACACACAACATGCATACACAAGCATGCACACAACACACTATACACATGTACTAGACACATTACACATGCATATACACCTGCACAAGAAACATACATGTATATACATACAATACACACATAAACAACATGCATGATGCAATGTACACATATATACATTCCACACACATACATACACTTTATGTATACACATACACACTTGCGTTATGCACATAACATAAACACGTATGCACACACGTGTCTTTGCATGCTGCTGGGGGGTGTCAGCAGGGCTGCCTTCTCCCCGGGTCCCGCTCTGTCTTCCTGTGTGGGTTTCTGTGTTCCAGTCTCCTCTCTGTGTGAGGACCCCAGGCCTTGGGGCCAGGGCCCTGCAGCCGCATCTCCCCTTGATTATCTTTTGAAAGGGCCCAACTGTGGATGCTGGGCTATTCTGGGGTATTGGGCATTAGGATGTGTACACAGGACTTTTGGGGAGGCCTCATTCACCCCTGGAATTTTAAGTGAAGTGAACGTGACATGAATGGCAGAGAGGGTGCTATTCAGACACAAAAGGCACATTCGCAGAGATGGGGCAGGGAGCAGTTGCCAGGTTGGGGGCAGAGGAAGCTGGGAATTACTGTTCAGCAGGTGGGGCTTGTTTGGAGTGATGGGAAAGTTCTGGAAATGGAGAATGGTGGTGTAACCCTGTGAATGCACTTAAGGCCACTGAATTGTACCTTTAGAAATAACTTAAATGGTCCATTTTGTGTTCTAGACATGTTACCATCATGTAATAATAAAAGGGTCGGTTTAGTAGGAGATAGGGGAAAAACTCAAACTCAGGCTGCAAGCAGTGTTGGATTTGCATCCTCATATGGTTCTGCTGTGGGTTGTTTTTCGGCTTCCCCTGCCAGCCCCATTGTGGGCCACGTGGCTGTGGCTGCAGGGAGCAAGTTTAGGGGTCTGAGGTTTTCTTATGTGATCAGGGTTGAGGTCTTTGGCTGTGAAGGGCAGTACACTTGGAGAGCACAAGCCAAGGTATGCCCTGAGTGCTTGGCTTCGGCAAGGTGGCGACCTGCTGGAACCTCTGCTTCTTCATCTGTGAAATGGGAACATTGATGCTGATGCTGCAGGATTGGAGGAGCTCAGAGAGGTCAAGCACAGTCCACCAGTGCTTGCCCCAGCGTTAAAGGTAGGGACTCAGGAAACAGTCCTGACTTCCACTGTGGGTGCCTGCAGGTGCCTCTCTGGAGTAATTTTCATCTTTTCAGAAGCTATGTAGTGTGGACCTGCTGTGTGTTGCCCCATCTGTGATGACTACAGCATGCTTCTAGCAGACAAAGAAGCATGCATATCTGTAACAATTAAGGGGAGAGGCTTAGGGGTAGGATGCCATGGGGTGCGAGTATAACTCAAGTGGGTCCAGGAGGGATTCTGTGGAGTGGTGGCTTTTGTGTGAAAACCTTAGGTACGGGGAGGATGCAGCTCTGCAGACAGCTGGAGGGAGCAGTGGGAACACAGCACATGCAAAGGTCTTACGTAGAACAAAGCCAGGTATTTGATGGGCTAAGTGGAGCTCACCTCTTGTGTATGGCTTTGGGTCCTGGACAAAGGGACAGCCACAGAACGATGGTGTGAGGGGAAGGGAGGCCAGGTCATACAGGTTGCACCCCACCCCACTGGAATTGGCAGCTGCCTCGAGCTTTCAGGCCATCCTATGCTAGCAGTCTCCCAGGTGCACCCTCTTGTTATGTGCCCAGGGATCTTGGAAGCTGGCAGCGTACTAATGGGTGAGTGGGGATGCTGGTAGATGCCAGATAGGGGTTCCACTGTCATGTCTCAGTGCACCCCGCAGGCCCTGCAGCCAGACTGCTTTGCCGCAGTGCTGGCCAGGTGGTTAAGCTGCTCCCCTGTGCCTTGGGGTCTTTATCCTGTTAAGTGGGGTCAGTCATATGAATAGGGGCTGAGCAGAGGCTGAGGGCAGATGCAGCATGCCCTGGGCGGGCTCTGGCCCTGGCTGTAGGTTGGTTGTGTGAGTCGTTGTCGCACAGTGCTGGGTTTGCACCTTGGCCTTGGGGACTTGCTTGTTGTCCCTTGGCCTCCTTGTCTGCAGGACAGGGCTGACTGTGGTGACACTGATGATTGTGGGAATTGTCTGCAGCACACAGGGAGTCTCAGTGCCGGAGAGCGAGTGTTCCAGGACTTTCTTGCTGTGTTGTCACTCAGAGCGGAACCTGGGGCATGGACCCTGGCAGTGCCTGGCATCTGGCTGGGCTGTTTGTGGCATGTTGGGGGACGTGGGCCTTCCTGAATTGATTGTCTGGGTCTGAGCCTTGGAATGCCGTGCTGCCAGCTGTCGCTGACCCCAGGAGCGTGCAGCCACTGGGCATGGGACTACAGAGTGGCAGGAGGCCCTGGCGGCCCAGGGCACGCTCCAGGTTCCTGAGTGAGTGGCCAGGGGCCAGGGTGCCTGAGGGAAGGAGACAGCCTTTTAAGGAAGTGTTTCTCTGCTTAGGAGAGAGGGAGAGAAAGGGGGGAGAGAGAGAGAGAGACTGAAAGGCAGGACCAAGTCTGCAGTGCTGCAGCCTGGCCTAGCATGTACAGCTGTGACCCAGTCTAGGAGGCCTCCAGCAGGGCCAGCAGACCCTTGGGGACATGGGTAGATCTGGTGGCTCACTCTTCCTCGAGGGGACAGAGAGGGGTCCTGGGTATCACGACACTTTGGTCTTGTTTTCCCTTTTGGGAAATGCTTTTGGATGGGTCTGGGGGAGTTGGGGACCACCTGTCCAGTACAAGGCATCTGTAACCCTGCCCTACAGAGCTTGAGGGGTGGGGCACTGCTATTTGGCCCTTGTCTTTCTCTGGGTTTGGGAGCCCTCCCTTCTGAGGGCTGATGTGACCAGAGCATGAAGTCAGGTAGACAGAGGGTCAGCCCAGGGTGTTGCCTGGGGCTGGGATTGCGGTGGCCTTGCTGCCCCTGGCTTGGGGAGGCAGCTTGTCTTTGACCGTCCATGGCTTGTACCCAGACACCCTGTGGCCAGGAGAGAGTCCCTCTCTGTCCTCTGTTCCCCTCTCTGGGCCCCTGGCCTGGTGTTTGGGTCTGGAATTGGAGCCAAGGTAGAGGACTGCGTTCCAAGAAAAACGTGTCCCGGCTAGAAAAGGCGTGCGCAGAGTCTCTGATAAATGCCCCTGCTAATTGCCAGGGTAGTGGTCTGGCTGCCCTGCCTGGCAAAGGAATGTTATCTCAGGGAAGGGAGCCATGGAACCGGCTCTGCCCTACCCCGTTCCAACTCCCTTTGCTCCTGCCATCTTCTGCTCCCATCAGAGCAAGGTGAGGAGGATGAACTTGAGGAAGATAATGTAGGAGGTGGAGCATTGGTCCCTTCTGGCCCGTGTGCTGGACAATGCCCAGGCAGTGACCACGCCGTCTGCAGTGGGATTTTGGGTGAGATTCCCCAGGCGCCAGAGGAGCTCTGGGCTGGCCATGGCTTTTCCTTTCCTGGTGGGTCTTTATCGCCCTTTTGCAAGCAGTTAAAACCTGCTTATCATTGTGCAGGACACAGCACAGAGCAGAAATAATCCTGGTTCTTAGCACTGTGCTAAGCATCCTGCTGCTGTTGGGATGGCCATGTGTTGGCCTGCAGTGGGTCAGCGGCCGTGTGGCTTTGTAGACTTCAGCTGGCTGCTATCACCTCCTGTGTCCCTCCCAGGGCCCAAGCATCTGCTGTCCCCTACCTGCTGCCACACTTCTTCTGAGGTCTCAGTGGTCACTGGGGGCTTGGGTGTCTTCCATGGAGGTGAGAGTGGGGTGTTGCAATTCCCAGAAGGCCACGGGAGATGCTAACCTGTCCTTTCTCTGTTCCTTCCACAGGTGGCTGCCCCCTGTATTCCTCCATCCAGCCATGAATTGGTGGTAAGTGACAGTCCTGTGCTCTGTGTCCTGGATGCTGTCTGCAGTTAGCTCACTTGAGGGCCAAATGTATTGGGGGGGGGGGCGGGTAGGGGAGGGCTAAAGCTAGATCTCGGCAGGAGAATGGGCTGTAAGGTCCCCGTGAGGAGCCGCGAAGCCTGTTGATTTCCATCTGGAGCCCTCAGCCTTTGCAGAAAGCCATAAAAGGGCATCCTATGTGTCTCCAGGCCTGGCCAGGTGCCTGTGGTCCCTGAACTCTGAGGTCCAGGGATGCTGCCTCCACCAAGCCAGTCCTGAATCGGGGTGCCTTTCGCCAGAGGCAGGAGAATGAACCACGTGTGCCCTACAGCCTTCCCACCTCTCACAAACAAGTGACCTCTGTTCCCCCTCTGAGTTCCTGGGCTTCACTCTGCTTTCCTGCTTGCGGTCCACTCCCCATCTCCTCCCCTGCCAGCCTTTACCCCATTGTGTCTCCTGTTTCCTCCTGGGGTTGCCAGAACAGCCCGGACAAGGCCAGGACCCCTATGAGTTGTGGCCAGTGGAGAGGGCCTGGTTCCAGACAGATCCCAGCTGGGCTGCCTGGGAGTATTGGGAACCTTGCTCTCTGCCCTCCTCCTACCTCTGTACCCTGCAGAGGCAGCCAGGGTTTTGGAGGCTGCAGGGAAGGGGCGTGAGTGTACATGCATGTGTGAGTATGTGCCTGTGTGTACATGCACTTATGTGCATCTGTTGTGTATGTGTGTACCTTGTGGGCCTAGCACAGATGCCTCTGGGGTTCTTACACTGAGACAGTGTGTGGCCAAGGCAAGAGTGTCCTAGGGCCTAGGTAGTGCTAGGTTCATTACTTAGGCCATCTAGACCCTGGATGCCTCACCAGACCACCCAGTTTCCTTTTGCTCTCATACCCGCTTGCTGTGTGGCCATGGGAGTGGGCCCCACCCTGTTTCTTTCTGGACCTCAGTTTCCCTCTTTGTCAGGGTCAGCCCAGATGCTCAAAAGGCCATGTCAATACAGATGAGCAGTCCTGGTCCTCCCTCCCTGTGCAGGGAGAGGGTGAGGCTGGAGGACATGAGTGTGCTTAAGGCTCCCAGAGCAACCCCTCTGTTCACTGCTCTGCATACCCAGGCCCTGAGCAGCTGTGGGCTCTCTCTGATGGCGCTGCCCAGCTGTGCCCCTCCAGATGTGGAGTGTCACTCGCACAAGAGCCCAGGCCAGGGTCATCTGGCTGCAGCAGGGACTGGGCGCAGAGTAATGAATCCATGGGACTGCTGAGGACACCGGGATAGGAGGGGGAGCCAGCAGAGGGCAGTGGGGAGGGCCAAATGCCGACTTGCCTCATTCCAGCCGAGTCGCTACCCTGTGTTGGGAATACAATGTCCTTGGCTGCTGTTTGAGGCTGGGGCTCTGGCGTGGGGGGACCACCAGGCTGAAGTGGGATGTCTGGCCTCTGGGAGGCCCATGAACTGTTTATGGACAGCAGGGCCAGGAGTTGGGACACCAGGGACTAGGTTAGGATTCCCAAGGGACTCTTACCTTCCCTGGGTTGTGGGATCTTCATGTCTGTGATGTCCCATCCTGCAGGGGCACGGGGCTCCGTCCTCCCAGTAGGCCGTGGCAGTGGAGTGGGCAGCCCGCTCTGCAGATCCCAGAGTGTCCACTATCACAGTGTTAGGAGTTAGACTGAGCAGCTCGGATCCTGGCTAGGATTGTGACCCTGAATGTTGCCTGACCTTGTTGGTCTTTGCTTCCCTTTTTTCAGAGTGGGACTTGGTAATGTAGTACCTGTCCCGTCAGGTGGTTGGAGAACACAGTGACAAATGAATCTGTGCCCATTTCACACAGGACAAAGCCCACAGGCACCTGCTGGTTTGCACAGCCTCATACAGCTGGCTGCTGCCTCCCTCCCTTCCTGTTGCAGCCACCCAGCCTTCTTGCTGGTCCTTGAACACACCAGGCAAGAAGCTGCTGCAGGCCCTCTGCGCTTAATGCACCTGCCGCCTGGAGTGCTGTTGCGTCTGTTGCCAGCAGGGCCCTTCCCCACCTCTTGACTTTATTCAAGTGTTAGCGTGTTCCCTCTTCCCTACCCAGAAGCCCGGCCTCGCTTTCCTGCCCTCACCACCCTTTCCTGCATTGTGTTTTACTTAGTTACCTTGTTCAGGGAGCTCCACTTGTGAAGCACGGGCTAGTGAGCTTCTCAAGGACAAGGGGTCTGTGGTCTGCCCGCCGCCCTGCAGCCTTGCACACAGTTGGTGCCCTAGACATGCTGCTTTAATAGCTGTGAGAAAGGCATTCAGCCGTGCCCAGCACAGACTAGGCACTGGGTAAAGGCAGTTGCATCTGTCCACATTTCCTGGCTGGCCCATGACAGGGGCTGGTAAGGTCTCTGGTGAAAGAGGAGGGATGGCGGGGAGGGGCGGAGAGGTGGTCTGTGGCAGGGACACAGGGTTTCAGCTGGCTGTCCCTAGGAAGTGGGAAAGTGGCCCAGAGGAAAGTGAGAGAGAAAGTCTGCTCCCCTTCCCTCCCTGTCCTTCCCCCACCCAGAGCACTCAGCACCTGCTTCCTCACAGCCAACGAGGAGTGGGGGCGGCAGGGGAGGCCGGTGCTTTGAACAGGTTCACAAGAGGCAGGAAAGGGCGGGTCTGTATTTTTCCTTCCTTTTCCATTCGCTGCCTGCCCTTCAGCCTCTGCAGGCCTAGGCTCTGGCCTCCCTCTGGCCTCCCTGCCCCCTCCTGTCCGCACACACAGCAGGAGTCTGTCCAGCTGTTTGCTCCCTGTGTCAGTTCTGAATGTCTCCTGGATCTTGCTGAAACCCTCTCCACCCCAGGATCAGGACCCCCACCTCCCTCTATCTGTGGACAAAGTGTCTGCCCAGCTTCAGACCCTGCCAGGCAAACACATTTTCCAGCCTGTGCCCAGGGCCAGCCAGGGTAAAGTGGCTTAATTTTCAACTCATGTTTTCATCTTCATTGGCAGACATTGCCTAAGGCCTTGAGTGGAAAGTTCCTGGGGGTCTGTACCCTCCTGTGGTGGTCCCCCAAGGGGGAGGGATGGACAGAGGAGATCCTCGAGAAGAGCTGAAGTGGCTTTTCTGGAGCCCTGTACCTACCCCACTTTGTTCTCAAAGCTTTACAAAATAGCCTCTGCAATGAGGATCCCCAGGGTCACAGATGAGGACCAGAAGTCCGGCTGGGGTTTCCCGAATCCCCTCTCCTAGTCACCAACGAGGGTATATGCCACTGTCACTGGCATAGCACCTGCAGTTTCCAAAGCTCTTGCCATGACTCCATGCACTTGGGACCTGCATGACTTGGATGGGAGCCTGTTCTGGCTCCTGGGTGGGCAAGTGAAGGGCAGGGTGTGATGGAGCCGATAGGCTCAGAAGATTCTGGTAGATTGATCCAGCTCTTGCAGCTGGCAGTGGCAGGACTTGTTCGGGAGGTCACCTGCTTCCTCCCAGGGGGCACCCTTGCATGCTGCTCCTGATGGAAGCCTCTGTTGCTGCCAGATGCCAGGCTGCTTCTGGGCTTCTTCTAGGTCACCAGCCTTCCTGGTGGTCAGGGGCCTGAGATTTGTGTGAGGAGCTGTTCATCCACAAAGTGCCCATCCATCTTCCCAACAGATTCTTCCCTGTGCACCTGCTGTATTCTGGCCACTGTCCCACATGGCTGTGCTGCAGGGGTCTCTTCCACCAGAGTTGGCAGGGTTTCCTGAAGGTTCCTGGGCCAGGAGTGGACCTGAAACCACAGTATCGAAAGGACTTTAGACACCATCCAGCCCCACTGTACACTTGGCAGACAGGGAAACAGGCTCCCTATGGTGGGATCTGGGACCAGAAGGCATAGGGCAGTCTTGGAAAGAAGAGAAGGGGCCTGAGAAACGGCATGGGCTGCTTAGCCCCGGCACAGCCTCCTTACTCATTGTCGGTCGTGGGAGGCTGACAGGCACCAGCCGTGGGTGAGAAATCCTAGGAAATAGAGGTGTGGCCCGTGAGAGGCTGATTTTCAGAGGGGAGGGGCAAATGTTAGGTGTTGAGGTTCCAAGGGGATCCCCTATATTGAGAGAGGTGTGCATATTCCAGTTTGTATATCCCCTCAGGGACTGATGGGTCCAGAGTGTGAACATAAGGGACAGTTGCAGAGGGGGAGTGAGGAGGGGTTAGATGGCAAATCGACTTCCTTCTGTCGCTGTCTGGGGTAGAATCTGGCAGGCGAAGCTCAAGGGTCCAGAAGAGCCTTCTAGTACCTGACATTGCTAACTGGGGCTGCCTGAGGTCTCAGGCCCACTGAGGTTCTGTCCTTAGGACAGGCTCCAAAGAGCCCTGGTCCCTAAACTTGCTGGGTAACTTCCCCTGTGTAGTCACCCTCCAGTGGGTGAAGTGCCCTGCCCTCCTGGGAGCACCTGATGGGAATAAGAGAGAGTGAGAGTGCCACACCATGGAAGTGAGTGCCCAACTGCAGGCTCCCACTGCAACCTTGGGCTTCAGCGTCAGAAGCCAGCTGCTTTTGCTGATGGCTGTGGTCAGCACTGCCCAAGGCCAGTGCAACACTGGAGCAAGTTGGAGATGGGGGGAAGAAGGAGGAAGGACGTTCCAGAGAGTGGTAGGGCTGCTGCGGGGATTGGTTTGGGGCCTTGGACGAATTGCTGACTATGATCAAGGACTGGGTTGAGTCCCGGAAATGCTTTTGTCACGCTGCTGTTGCTGGGGGCAGGAGGGGATTGGGCAACCTTGTATTCCCTGGGGGCCTGAATACACCCTTGGTGGCCCAGGCAGGGGCCAGTGGGCGAGCAGGCATGGGGGCGGCAGCTGCTGTATGCAGAGCTGCTGGCTGGAGGAGAGTGGACTCGACATTGGCAGCCTGTGGGAACAGGACCAGCTCATGTAGGTTGGGAAACTTGGACCTGATGTGCTAAGCACTAAAAGCCATTATGGGACCTTGAGTGGGGAAGTGACCCAAAGCAGGGTTTTAGAGCTGGCTGTCTGCTGCCAGCTGTGGGTGGCTTGG